CATTTCACAAGCCTCGCACTTCCGGCCTTAGTGGTCTTTAAGTACGCGGCCCTTGAGGATCGTTAAGGCTGCAGACCCTGAATTGGGATACAGCCAGAGTAACACTAACACAAAACAGGAAGTGGAACGTACAGAGGATAAACAGTGACCATGAACTGAAAATACTGGGTCAACGACCCAGGAACCCTGACAATCATAGAGTTAAAGAATATTAGGCAGATGTTTTTTTCATGTAAAACTCTTATAGCTATACATAGCTTTAAGGGTTTTCAATAATGAATTCAATATCAAAGTCATAGGTGAACATATTAGAAAACATTTTAGCGTTTTTCCATGTGGCTCCTCGTGGATGTTTAGCTCCATCTTTGGCCCACCGTGTTGTATCTGTATTTACCTACAGCCAGCAGCTGTCCTCATGAATAAATATGATCTTCTCATATGACCAAACAATCACTTAGATGCTGCTTTACAAGCTTTAAATTTAAACTTGCAGGTGTTTTTTATGTTTAGCCAGAACCACCTTTACTTTCATTCATCTCCTGGCAAAAAATCAACTCCCCCAAATATCCGAGAATTCCTACAACTACATTAGCTCTGTATGTTGAACCTTTCTACAGTACAATACCAAAATCAGTGTTTTATTTCTGTACATCAAATGTAAAAGTGACTATTAAACAGAAAGGAAGTGAATGAATTGTCTGGACTGTAATCTAAAGCAGGACACTCTTTTCCAAGTGTGATGATTTTAAAGTGAAGAAGCTTCTCAAATGTCCACTGTGAACATCAGTGTAAAATAAATGGACTTCTTGCAGCAGCTTGAATCAAGAGGTGACTTCACAGCTCGACCTTTATTTTAAGGTGCCAAGGGACTCAGCCTGGTTCCTATTTTTAGGCAATAGCTACCTGACAGCTCCACAGCAAATATGTGACAATAGGGAATAGAGAAAATACCAGACAACACTTGCGCCTCCTCCCTGTGCTTACAGCATCCAGACTCGAAAATGGAGGTTGCAGGGTTGGCAAAATAATTCAGTACAGAAGGGGAGAGGAAAACTAAACATTATTGCACAAGAGAATCGTCCAATCTAGAGTTCAAAATTAACATAGAGGGTAAAATATTTGGTCATCAGTTATCTTTTTACCCAGAAATTTTTCTGGATTTGGGCCCAAAAATACTGATTGGACCCAAATCCGGAGGGCAGGGAAATATAAGTAAACCTTACATTATTATCACCCTGTTGGGACATAAAAAAGATTATCAGATCAGTTTGTCTGTAAAGGGGTAGTGCTTTTGTTGAAATGTGCCCTAACACCTAACTGTGCCATTTGATATTGGCTAATACTGGCATTTTCTTCTCCCATTTCAGCAGATGCATGTCTGGCTTGTTGGCCAGTAAAAACGTAACACTCCAGATGCAGTGCTGATCCCCGACACTTACTGTAGGCCAAGACACAGCAGCACACAGTAATACACCGATTCCTTGCAATCCAAATGGCTTCTTGTAATCACCCCTACCATCTGACATCAGAGTTTTGACATACATGTGTTTCTGGCCTACTTGTGACCATTTGTCTGCACTGATTTTATTTACAGATTATAGAGAGAGTCACAGGGTCAGTAAACCTGATATGGAAATGATGATATTAAGAAAAGTAAGTTTTATTTTTGTTTTGAAAGCAAAAATAGCTTAGGGCCTGTCAAAAATCATCTTTTTGGTTAAAACACACATTTTGATAATGTTAA